TTTTAACTGTTTAAATGAGTTTCAATTTGGTTTTCGATTAAACCGTTCTACCTGCCATGCACTGATAAGCATAACTAAAAAAATTAGAAAAGCTCTTGATACTGGTCATTTTGATTGTGGTGTTTTTATCGATTTACAAAAAGCTTTCGATACCGTTAATCATAACATTTTGATTTCTAAATTAGAACATTATGGAATTCGTGGAGTTGTAAGTGATTGGTTTCGATGTTATCTTTTGGACCGCAAACAATATGTAAGTATTAATGGTTATACTTCTAATAACAAAGGTTTTACATGTGGTGTTCCTCAAGGTTCCGTTCTTTGTCCTCTTTTGTATTTTATTTACATAAATGATCTAAATAACTCTGTTCACTTCTCGTCTGTTCATCTATTTGCAGATGATACCAATCTCTTGCATGTCAACAAATCATACTATTTTCTTTGTAAAAATATAAATTCAGATCTTAAAGGTATAGTTCATTGGTTAAATGCCAACCTAATATGTCTTAACACCGAAAAGAATGAACTAATTTTTGAAAATAACATTAAAAACTTATTGTACCATCATATAAAACTCAAAAGTATGGTAAGAATTCTGTTGTGTATCTGTGAATGGAACAAGAGCCTTGTGTGCATTGTGAATGAGTTCATTAAACTCCAACTCCAAACTCCTTTGTCATCTTTTCTTAATCTTAATCAAAATCAACTTAAAAAATTCTGAAAAATATTTTGTTATAATTTTTTTCTATTACTATAATAATTATCCTTATTTTTTGTTTGTTTTTCGTTTCTCTTTTATTATTACCTACATATATGATTTTTAAAAATTTTTCTTTATGTATGTCTATGTTTTATGTCTATATGTTTACTATTAGTCCTATTATTTTGAAAAATGGTGTCACTCCTTTGACCAGACTTCTGTATGGGTGACACCATCCATACTAATCGTTAACTTATTATAATAAGAAATAACATATCATTTTACCTATTATTATAGTAATTACTATTATTTATAATTTTTTTTTTTTTGTTATTATTATTATTATTGTTATAAATTTTTACTGTTGCTTATTATTTATTATTATTGTTATTATTATTTACCTTATTAATGCAAAAATGATTTTAAAATGGAAAATAAATTACTTGTTGTTGTTGTTGTTGTTGTTGTTGTTGTTGTTGTTGTTGTTGTTGCTGTTGCTGTTGTTGTTATTAATTATATTAATAACTATATAATAGTTATATTTTAAATCAAAAATTCTAATAAAAATATAATATTTTGTTTTACAATCAAAATGAATAATTTTTTACCCAAAATTAAGGAACAAAAAATAATTTGAAATATTAAAAACAAATTAAATCAAAATACTCCATGTTTCAAATAGTGTAAAAAATCTAAAGTACCTGAGTTTAATTTTAAATCTTTTATTAGCAATTTTTTTCCTTTTTCTTTTAACAAACCAAAAGGTTTTCATGACTAAATTTAAACAAACGCCACTTAAAATATTTGTTCTAACTCTTTGAATGGTATTTTTAAATGAAAATCAACCGATTTTAGTTGTTATCAGTGAGACAAAACTAAATCGAACAAAATTTTAGTTTCACTAAATTTTTAATAAGACTCGAATTTTTTTTTCATTTTTTTTTTATAAATATATTTTTTTTATTATATATTTACAAGAAAGTAAGTATAGTTGCATTTATTTTTGAAATTGTTTTATTCACTTTGAGAAAATTTAGACTTTGTTTGGAAAAGATATTTTATTTCGAGTGGTTATTGTACATATTTCAATAATTTTGAATGATTATTATGCATAGTTTCAATAATAAGGTTTCTGAAACTTGTACGCTAAATCACGTGGTTATTTAAAAACAATTTTTATTTAGCACAAAAAACTGTTTACTTTATGTTACAATTTTTTTGCTTAAGTGAATAGCCTATTTTTGCGTTGGTGAATTCAATGTTTCTTGAAATAACTAGAGTGAAAACACAAGTCGTTGTCAATCATTAAAATAGGTCGCTGTCTATAGATTTTGTAAAACAACTGAAGTTTTTTGAATACTTGGTCTAAGAATGCATCAAATAAGTTTAAAAGACTTTTTCTCGCGCAAATTTTAATAAATTGGATGAATTCAAAACTGTTTTGCTGTTAATGAAAAGATTTGTTTAAGACTAAAATTTAAGTTCAGTTGTTGAGTCAGATGATTTTCTAATACAATCAAAGAAGAGGGATTTTTGTATATGTTTTACGAGAAAAGATGTATATCATATCATAAGGTGGTGTGACTTATCGCCTTTATGACCAATACCTCAATGATAACTATATATTTTCACAACTTTTTTTTTCAATGACAAGTGGCAAGACTTCCAAACATAAGAAAGTCAAAGAAAATTAAATGTATTGAGATTGCTAGTAAAAGTAAAACTCATTTTTTAAATCCGGAAAACATTGTTTTAGTGGATTTGCAGTAGACCTATATAGGCATTTTTTAGCGATTCATTAGAGTTTTGCTCATCAGTTATTATATGAACCAATAATGGCAGTCGCTATAAATGGAAAGTCAATAATTTTCTGACATTTTATTAGTGGCTAGTCATCGGCTAGCCACTTTTGGCGGCTCCCACTAATGGTCCACTAAGTAACCAGTGAGCAAAACTACAGCGGTCTCAAAATGCCTATACAGGTCCACTGAAAACCCGCTATAGTATGTTTGCTGGGTAGGCATTAAAGTAAATTCTAGTGTGAACTCATAGAAAAGGCTATTTTTATAATTTCATATCTTTTAAAAAATAATTGGAACAAGCTCTTTCTGCAGTAGTAGAATTAGTAATCCTTAAGATACTTTTAAGTTATTTTTATTATTATTTCATATATATATATATATATATATATATATATATATATATATATATATATAATGTTCATACTATTAAACAGATAGACGGTAGATAGATTTATGTATTACTATATAAAACTATGATATCTGTGAACTTACAGGATGTTGTATTATATATTTAAGCATTTTAGTTGCAAAAATATAACATAGTTCAAATAAATTATTAAAAAAACTCAAGTATTAGAATTATTGTTTAAAAAGAATAATTAAATTAATTTTGAAAGTGTTTACATAAAGTTATTAAAATCAATATTTTTATTTTGATAGAACAGTTTAATTTTTCTTAAAATAATAACTTTTTTACCTTGAAATAAAAAAAATGTTTTATGGTAAATTTATTGCTGTCATTGATTCAAAAAAACTTTTACATTTGATAAAAAAAAATTTTATATAATATTTTATGCTAATTACCATATATAGATAAACAAACTAAGTTAACTTATCTACAAAACTTAATCAAATTTTTAAAGCAGCAGACTTATTAAGCTATAAAAAAAATATTACATTATATTTACTCACAATGAAGAGATTGATTCTCAGTTAAATGACGTTTACAAAGTTCTCTTTTTAATCTTTTGTCAAACATTCTGTCATGTGTAACTAAATTTATAAACTTGTGTCTCCAGTTTATGGTATATTCATCATCTATAGTTATAATACAAAACACAGACAATCCCACATGGTTACTTAAACAAAATAATCAAAGAATACGTAATTTACCTCTGACAAAATTACCAAATACACAACAAACTTTTGGACGCTTGCAGTTTAATACATTCTAAAGCTGAGCACAAGGATATAAAGAAACTTGAGTGTTTTAAGAAAACACCCTTAAAACAGCCCGCCTTTTCCAGATTGCTTAAACACTAAGATATGAATTCAAAATTCATATCTTAGTCTTTAAGCAATCTGGAAAAGGCTTGTAAAAATTTGAACAGTCATATAAAAAAACATAAATCTTTACTAACAGCTGTTTTATCATCTTTAGATTTTTGACTTTAATTTGTTTACAAATGTATACTACAACAAAATTAATTACAAAACAATAAATTAAATACAAGAGATAACAAAATTTCAAAAACATGAGTAAAATTTCTAAAGCACTTATATCAACACAAGCAGCTTTTTAGTATTTCAAAGTATTAAAGTTAATAACGAATACTTAAGTTAATACCAAGACCAAATCTTGCACACCTTTAATTAATTGTAAATCTAAAATATTATAGTTATGCTAAGAAATAAATATACCTGTTAATATACAGTAATAGTACCAGTTCTCAATAAATGTAAGAAATACTAATAAATACCGAAATGTAAACAAATGCTGATAGTACACATTTTAATTGCACAATTTTAATTCATTTTTATAAACAAATAAAAATTGTGATAATATAAAGTTATGAGTGTTTGATAATATAAAGAGTTATGAATGTTTTGCATAAACACTCGTAACTCTTTATATTATCAAAGCATAAAATAGGACTAAACCTTCTTTTTAATAGCAGCTTTTTTGGTTACCCAGCAAACATGTCAGCGTTGAATCAACGTTGAAAACCGGTCGCAAAAGATGTTGCGGAAACGTTGACAAAGTAATCAATTTTGCAAAGATATGTGACGTTGTTTAAGAGACGTTGATTAAACGTTGTAGCGTAACGTTGAAAAAACGTTACTAAAAGACGTTACAAAAATGTCTTAACTAAAACGTTGAAAAAGCATTACTTAAAAAGCGTTGCATAGGCGTCGCAACTTAACGTTGAAAAAATGTTACTTCAATAGCGTTACTATAACGTG